TTCTGGGGGGGTCCCCCAGCCCCGCTGAGTCCCGCGGGGGATCTTTCACCGACTGCATCCATCCGCGCGCTGAAATATGGGTGACGGCTCGTGGGCGCTGGGTTTTGTTGATGGGAACAGCTCGGCTGGGTGCTGAGTGGAGAGTTTCTGGTCCTGGGCTCAAAGGGCACCAGCAGAAACAAGCCCTGTGGGGTGACAGGGCAGAAACTTCAGCCCAACTCCTGCCTTTAATCCCTCGGCAGCACAGGGACCGGCTTAGTGGTGCCTTAGGGATGTTACAGCTTCTAGGCCGTGCCTCTTTCAGCAAAAATCATCTTAAACTGATGCCTGGCTCTTTCTCCGCTCTTTTCCAGATCAAAAATGACTGTCAAAGCTGTAAATATGCCGTGCACCACTCCAAATGTTTATACTAAAGTGCCTGACGGAGGATGGGGTTGGACAATCGCTTTTGCTTTCTTCTTTGTGGAAGCTCTAACGTACGGCATTATAAAATCGTTTGGTGTCTTCTTTAATGACCTAATGGAAAGCTTTGACGAAACCAACAGCAGGATATCGTGGATAATATCCATATGTGTGTTTGTGCAGACCTTCACAGGTAAGAGTAACGGGCGTTCGGGTGGGAGTGCAAGGGGGCGGTTGTACTGCTGACTCAGCGTGTGTGGACCCTGTACCTGGGATTTTTTGCGTCTCTGATGGCTTCATTCGAAGTAAAAGCCGTGAAGCGCAGAGGCTGCGAGCTCCTGAAATACCAGTTAACAGCTGTCTCAGCCCAGCAGTCCCGCCGAGCCCCACCTCGTGTCCTGCTGTGGTACGGGGCCGCGTCGCTGACCCTGGCCCAGCCGTTCAGCTCTCAGCAGCAAGGGCTGAAAACACGAGATCTGAACCCTAACTCTAGTGAAAAGAATTAAAACTTGAGCCTCACTGAAATCCACTGGTCTGTGGATGTTGCTGCAGGTTTGTCTCAAGCTGCCACGCATCCGTCATAGTCTCTTCTGATGAATTTTTTTAAAATTTTTTTTTTCGGCACATCCTGAATGCTGCGAGCTGTGCAGTGCTCCAGGGTGATGCTGTGCTGTGAGAGGCCAGGGGACGTAGGATGTCACAGGGACTGGGGTAGGGGTATGAGGAGATGGGAGCTGGGGAAGTTCCTGACTTGGGTGCTGACCACTGCGCTCTTGCTCTCCCCCCCATGCAGCTCCTCTGTCAACGGTCCTCAGCAATCGCTTCGGTCACCGCTTTGTGGTGATGGCTGGAGGGGTGCTGATCAGCACCGGCATGGTCACTGCCTCCTTTGCCCGCACTGTTGTGGACATGTATGTCACCATTGGTGTCATCTCTGGTGAGTTGTCCTGTTCCTGTACCCGCCAAACGCTTCCTGCTCTCCTGTGGCTTCCTGCAAGCGTGGCTCTGGCCAGGGGGGGTCCGGCTCCCCACGACACCGGGAGCGCTTGAGAAATGCTGCTGCCCCTTCCGAGCTGAGCTCGCCCTCCTGGCAGAGGTGCTGAGCTGGGCTCAGGGCTTGGCTTTCTGCCCTGGCTCACCCTGGGGACCACCCAGGGACTCGGTCCCGCAGACCGCTGCGCTAGCGCGGCTGCACCGATCGCTTCTCACTGGGATTCCTGGGGAGATGAAAGCTGTTCACGGGGTCACATCCTCTAACCTCTCCCTCTATCTATGCTTTTTTTTCTGATACTTTTCCCCTCTTCCAATCTGGCCTCGTGTCCGTGGGCAGGAGCTTGCCTCGCTTCAGGGAGCAATTGCTACAGGCTCCAACTCTGTAAAGCAGATGAGGTCCTTGAAGTGGACCCCAGTGGCTGTCGGGGAACAGAAGGCATTATCTAGCAGATTTGGGAGGTTGGGTCTCTTGGTTTTGTTTTTTCTTCTTTTTTTTTTTTTTTTTTTTTTTTCCCCCAATAACATTCTGGTTTCCCCAATGATTTTCTTCCAGGGTGACTTGCTGAGTTGGCCGAAATGATACTGTAATCTCGCCACTGGGAAAGCTGACTTAACGTGTTCTTGCATCGGTGTTTCCCCCTCCCTTACTTGTTGTTATGGCAATTTTTGGCATTTATTCACAGGCCTTGGATACTGCCTCTCTTTCCTCCCGACTGTCACCATTTTATCACAGTATTTTGACAAAAGACGTTCGCTGGTCACAGCAGTGGCATCTACGGGGGAATGTTTTGCTGTTTTCTCCTTCGCACCAGGTACAGTGCCCGAACGTTGTGAGTTTGTACGTGCATGCCCAAAGCACAGTGCTGCTCCAGGCCTTTTCCCAAGCAAATGGGAGCCAAAGACCATCCATACCAGGGTGCTTGTGACCTCCCCGTGAGCTGCTGAAGCCCACAGGTGGTTGCTCACGTAACCCAGGGGCAGGGTTACAAGCAATCCTAGAGACTGGTCCAACGATGCCTGAGCCCTCCCCGGCATCGCCTGCCAGCGCAGGACGTGCCTCACTGATAGGCAGCCCATCGGGTTCCCTATATAGATCTAGCAGGCTAAAAATAAAGACTGAGAAACTCCCAGCTATTTAAAACACGCAGTGCACATAACTGCTCCTAAAGGTTAGTGGGCTTGTGCTCAGCACAGGGTGCCAAACCGCTCCAGCCTTTTGGGGACCTGTCCCCGGGGCAGCATGTCCCTGTCGCTGCCCTGTCCTCTGCAGTTCAGGTGCTGTGCTGTGCACGCTTGCTTTCAGCTAATACCCGTTGCAAAGCTGCTTTGATTGCAAATGAAGGCTTGTAATTAAAGCAGTGACATGCACCTTTGAGTAGAGCTGAGAGACTTCCTCTAGTAGCTGGTTTCAGGGTGGGGTTGGCTGAGAGAGGAAACTCGAATGTTGAGTTTGCTCTCATTCACTAAAAATAACACCACCTTCATCCTCGTGCACCCCAAACTCACTGGGACCTCAGAAGTGGCTACTTAGAGAGTAACCTCTGTTAGCCAGATGTTAAATGCAACTTCTAGCTCTTTGCTGCAGCCGATGGGAGGAACGTGGGTGCCAGACCCCCGGGTGGCCCTGGGCAGGATGGACCAGGAGGGACCCCTGCTCAGTCTCTGCAAGAGCTGAGGTGCTTGGGACCCTCCAGTGAGGAAGCTCCAGTTACTTCGGTAGCTTTAAATTCAAATAGCTCCTTGGTGTGTAACTACAGGCTTTTCTAGTTACACTTTCTTCTTCTACCCTCTTCCCTCAGCAATTACTGCTCTGAAGGAGCAGATTGGCTGGAGATACAGCCTCCTGTCTGTTGGGGTGCTACAGCTAAGCATTGTCATCTGTGGATCACTGCTGCGACCCATTATCATCAAAGAGCAAGAAGAAGTGAAAGCACAGCCTCCGGAGGAGCCAACGGAGACAAAATACATGCTTGAAAATGAGCAAACACGCACCTCAATAGAGTCCATAGACTCAGGAGTAGAAATAACTACCTCACCCAGCAATGTGCCTGGAAACACCAAAGCAGAGCCGAAAAGTGAAGAACCAAAGGAAAACGTACAGATACTTGTTGACGACAGCACCCCCCCCGAACCAAAAACCAAACTACTGGACTTTTCTGTGATGAGAGACTATAGCTTTATCTGTTATGCATTCTTTGGCCTGTTTGCTACCCTGGGCTTCTTTGCTCCCTCCCTCTACATCATTCCCCTGAGTCTCAGCCTTGGCATCAGCAAAGACCACTCTGCATACATACTGTCTGCCATGGCGATCGCAGAGGTCTTTGGAAGAATTTCAGCTGGCTGGGTTCTCAACAAAAAGCCCATCCGCAAGATCTACATCGAACTCATCTGCGTTGTTCTGCTGTCTGTAGCGTTGTTTGCCTTCCCTTTTGCCTCTGAGTTCTGGGGCTTGATGACATGTAGCATATTTTTTGGGTTCATGCTTGGAACCGTAGCAGGCACACATATTCCCCTCCTGGCAGAAGACGACGTGGTTGGTATCGCAAAGATGTCTTCTGCGGCTGGAGTCTACGTCTTCATACAAAGCTTAGCTGGGTTGGCTGGACCACCCCTTGCAGGTAACTCTGAAACTTTCATCTTAGGTTGGGTTTTTTTTTTTTGGTTTATGTTTGACAGCTGTTGGTGCTGATCTCTGTCTGGAGAGTGTTCTGGCAGTGCTAATCACAGTACTATGCTAAAAGCCCTGCAACTAGTATTAGGAGACTCTCGGAGCCAGAAGGCTGCTGCAATGCAGCTCTGCAGAGTCCCACAGATGAGGCAGCCTCCACCGAGGAACCTCGGAGTGAAGGAAAATACTGCAGTGCTACCCTGTTCCTGTTAGAAACCTAAAACTGGCATCACTTCAGGCTCTAGTGAACAGTAAAAGAGAGTTGCTCTCGCTGTGCTTGTGTTTGTGCCATACGCTGCAGAAAGGTGAAGTCTCTCTCATAACAAATAGATGCCTGATGCATCTCGGGCTTAGCATCCCCGCAGTGCCCAGAGGCTTCTGACTTGCCTGAGACGACGCTACGTACCCCTGAACACAGTGTTTTGACTTGTTTGTTTTCAGGGAGCATCTGTTTGTCATTGAGTAGCTTTTGATTGCAAATAAAATGACGCAGTGGCACCCAGATTAAAAATCCTGTAGGAGGGATGGATGGGCAAGGGGAAGAGAGTTGGTTGTGGCTAACTGCTGTGAATGTGTTTTCTGCAGGTGTCTTAGTGGATACGACACAGAACTACAGCTCAGCCTTTTACTCTTGTGCTGCTGGCATGGTCCTGGGTGCTGTGTTTCTGTCCCTGGTGAGACCGTGCAAGGCTGGGCTCTGCCACCGCCAGCAGCAGTGCACAGAGGAGAGCACGGCGGAGGTCGTTCCGGAATTACCGGATGACTTTATTGAAATGGATATTGGAAAAGCAGAAAATTCAGGAAAAGGCTGCGATGGTGCGGCATAAAAAAAAAAAAATAATCGGTTCCTTCTCCATTTAATGTATTCGGCGTAAGACTGGGGGAAACGTCAGCTCTGCTCCACGTTTTAAAACTACATTCTGAAGGGAATGTGAAATTTTAAATGTGAACAGTTGCTACCAACTCTCTTTTTTTTTTTTTTAATTAGAACTTTTTTAACCAACAATGGAAAGCTCCGTAGAAAATACGGATAGCCACATAACTTCTGTCTAGCATGAAGATGTGATGCACACTCCTGCTTTCTTGATAACAAGCATAGGTAAAGGTTCAACCGATCCCAGAAAAACTGAGAACAGCCGCAGCAGAAGCAGCTCAGCCTCTGACTGCCCTTACCCCATCTCCTATCGCAAATTCCATGCAGACAAGAAACAGATGATACAAACTGGAGACGAGCCTTTCGTACGCCACCAGTAGCCAACTGAATCTTCTTCTGGAAGAATATGGACTCATGTTTTAGACTTGAGGAGGAGGCTAGGCTAGATAGCTGACTTAAACCATTGCTAATGTTCTTCTAATTAACTTGAACGTCACAAATGCTGGGAAATAGGAGGCTCCGTATGTCTTTATGGCCAGTTATTACTGCACATATTTCATAAGATCATTTTTCTTCTCCTGATTGGTATCCTTAGAACTGTTTTCTATTGATAGTCAGATCTGATGTACTGTTTCTAATTTAACTAGTATTTATTAATTTATTCTAAGATTGTTAAAGGAGGTTAGCTTAAATAACTGGAGAGGAAAAATCATCTTTTGCATAACGGAAAGCTGTCCTTGCATCAATCTCTTCAATACTTATCTTGTACTGCTAGCTTGTGAAATTGTTGGGAAACTTACTCTTACAGCATAGAGTGTAGCTGTTTTTAATAGGTAGGTCTTAGGTAACCCAGTTATTTAAAAAGGAAAAAAAAAACAACCAAATAATAAACTACAGATCCAGCATCTCTTTCCATACGGCCTCAGCTGGGGTCACTGGACCCAGCTCTGCTGCCGTAACCAGCCCACCCCACGGGGACGATTTGGCCCAGTATGTCTTAACGTACCCGAAACCTTCGCTTACAGGTGCACAAGGAAATCTTGGCTGCATCATCGCATGAATGTGGAAACCCCTCCCCGATAACCTGGCTCCTTGCAGTCTGCTCCCTGCATCTGCCTACCGTGGGGGCCTGGGGTGGCTGCTCTGAGCTGTACCCCCTTCCCCAGCTCTCTCTGCTCCCCCAAAGTCAGTGAGGGGCTTTTTTTTTTTTTTTTTTGCTGCTGACTTGAGTGAGAAATGAACCAGAGCCTGTGCACAATGAAGGCATGAAGGTTAGGATAAAAGACAATGTGCTAGCTGTTCATTTAGTCTTAATGGGAGAGATTCCTACTCATGGTGACACAAGCTTGCTTACCCCACCTATATGCATCTTAACGCCTCTAGGCAACTCAGGGGGACAAATAAAACAAGTCTGTTTTGGTTTGGAAAAACCCAAACCAACATTTCTGTGTATTTAAGTGGAATCATGCATTAACTGCTACGCTGACCCATCTGTATTTTACCAGCCATAGAAATGTGGGACAATCTGTTTAAAGAAAAAAAAAAAACAAAAAAAACAAAAAACACACCTCTTTTTGGGAAGGTGCTTTGATTTGTTTTTTTCTGTCTTAGATGTCCAAAAAAAAAAAAAAAGAAAAAAAAAAAAAAGAAACAGGCACTCTTGCAACCAAGTGGCTAGAGCAATTCATCCTCACTGCCCGAGACCTGGGGTCTCGTGTCCTTCCTCTGCCTCAGCACTTTATCACGGCCAGCAGAACCTCGCTGCGTTGCACCCAGGACTGGAAGACCCCTTAACTGAGAACTAAAGTTTTGTGAATCAGTGAGTAAAGAACAAATAACGATGTTGCATTAAGGTGTGCTTTTTATTTATTGTTAATTTATGATACTTCAAGCATTTTGGTAAATGTTCTGTAGACTATAATTGTAAGATTATTGAAGTCTTTGTGATACGAGACCTCACTACAGCACTTTGCTATTACAACTCTGCTTGGAAGTGGAACAAGGCCTCCAGGTTTTGCGTGTGTGTGTAAGCTCCCTGTTCTGCAGATTTGCGAGGTTCTACTGTAATTTTTTTTTTTTTTTTTTTACACGACAATTCCAATACAGATCAAATAACGTTTGTCACTGACCTCACAGTACGTTTCTGTTCCTGTCTGTGTCGCGGCACGAGCAGGGGAGCGAGTGAGTATGTGTGTGTGCGGGCGCAGAAGACCCAGAAGCCAGGCTTTAATGCGTTCAAAGCAGGATTTTCTGATTTGTTTGTAACGTACCTAGTGGACTCTGGAAATACTCTAAAACACTGAGTTTTGCAATAAATTTTTTCTTTTTTTTTTTCCTCTTTTTTTTTAAATAAAGAAAATGAAAGAAACTTTGCTCCTCTCCCTCTTCTCCATCCCCAGGGCGAGGTTGGGGCGGGTTGGTGCAGGGTCTGGCTTGCTGTTTTCTCCTGCCCGAAGGGCTGGCGGCAGCGTGGCCATCACATGCCACTTCCTCAGCCTGAAGCAGCCTGTTTGCCCTGCAAATTGGGCAATCCTCCGCTCTTCTGAAGGGGGTTGCTTGGAAGCTGGTAGATGAGTGCTGACCTCAAGGGTACTCTTGTAAACCCTTACCCGGGGAGGCCTGATTAGAAGGAGCCTTTTCTTCTGCTGATTGGTAACTGAATTGGTGGCACTTAGGAACATTATCCTCATGTCTTCAAGAAGCATGCAATCATGCAATTATTTTATCATCTCTGAATTGCAGAATACTTTTTTCATGCCAGACTAGGCGGCTCCTGTATCAGAAATCAAGCTACTAAATAGCAGGATAGTTGCACTAAAGGGCAATTTTCTCTCCCTCAAACCTTATTTCTTTTTACACCCTTCCCTGCTTAGCCCATAACTCCCAGCATCATTAAACCCTACAAGGGGTAACACTGCTGTGCTGCTTAATTCCAAATGCATGTATTAGACTTGCAAAAGAACTACTTGTTGAAGGAATCATCATGCCACTGATACGTATTAAGTGCAATTTGTTTTCATTATGGTTGCAAAAGTCCTAGAACAGAGGTGATCACGCACGCAAGCGGCACAGACTTAACACAAATACCAAAGTCCCAGGAAGATAATCTGTCTCCAAATTTGACTCTGGCTCAATTACAGCAGTGAACAAACATTATTTGCAACAGCTTCCTCAAAAACAACCCCTCAAAAAAAAAAAAAAAAGAAGGATTACAAAGGCTGCACACTGTTCACATAAATAAAAGCACGTAAAACTGTAACACTATCAGATGTCTCCCTGCACAGAAAACAATTTTGGGTAATTTTTCCCACCTGGTTTAAATTAATTGCCCACAACCTCCTCTGTTCTCCTGCTACAAAGGCATTAAGGCCAGAACAAAATAGGATAAGAATACTTATTCAGAAGCACTGTATATCTACTTTGTACCAGTAAATAAGAGGGCAACGCAGGGCAGAACTCGCTTCTGCAAGCCTCGGTATTCCTCTCAAAAGGGGTTGTATAAACTCTTGTCAATGAGGGCAGTGCCAGCCAAATGTAAATAAAGGAAATTACACAAGGTCAGCTTGCAGAAGGACAGAAAACCCTCGGACCATAGGTTATCTATCCCTTCTGAAGCAGAAAGGAAGCTGTACAGTAGGTTGGTTTGTTGTTTTGGGGTCTTCTGAAAAGAGATAAACCCATTGTCCCATCTGAAATTAAGAGGAAGGGCAACCTCCTGTTCTTCTTCACTTATTTTAGATAAGCTGACATCAAGGTACTTCAGGGGACAAATGAATCTTTAGCTAAACTGGTTTTGGAAAAAAGTAAAGTAGGTGCTTACAAAACAGCTCGAATGTTTTAATGCTTCCCTTCAGATGTTACTTGTTAGCATCTGAGATCATAATTTTCCAGCTGCCCGTAGTAAACATGACCTGAATTTCGATGGTGACGCAAGCCCAAGCAGCGGCCTTCCTCCCTCCCTCCTCAAAGCTCATCTTAAAGGTGCTTCACAGGTTGGGTTTAGAAAAACATCCCTTTAACTTCTGGCTCGGTTTGAAGGCTGAGAGAGAAAGCACTGCTGCCCAGAGGAATTATTTTAAACTTGATGTCCACACCAAAAGACAGGAGCCCTGGTTCCCCCCAGCACGCCGCAGCAGCAAGGCGTGGGAAAGGCTCCCGGGCATCCCGAGGCGGTTGGAGCAGGCGGTTTGCAGCCGCCATGCGTGTGTGCCTGCCCCGCTCCAGGACACCTCTGGGGATCCTGGCAGCAAAACACAGAGCTTTCCCCTCCCCGGTTTCACTCACATGGACTTTTACTTGCAAGATTTGCAAATTCGTGGCTGCGCTTGCATAAAGCTTGCTCTTGCAAATTGCAGTAAGTCATCTAATAAATCAAATGCAATCCCCCACCCTCCTTCCTACTGCAGCTGTCAAGCTCCAGTTACAACAATTTGTGGTAAAATATTACTCACCAGCACTTTGGCCCGTGTGAGCAGCTCTGCCTCTGTAAAGACAGCCCCCTAAATCACTGCTTTGTCACAGAAGCCACAAGCATAACCAAAAGACTTATTACACACAGACATTATGAGAATAAGGCCGAGGAGACAATAGTTTCCCCCGCTTCCTTTTTGTCAAAGCTTTCATTAACGTTGTGAATGTCTTATTCTACTTTATGCACCGCCGGCTGCTTGCCACAGTCACCCTGGCAGAGAAACGGCCCAAATCAGCCCCAAAGGGCCTGAGCAGCAGCGAGACCGAGTCGGGCGACGGCAAACTGGGGTGCTGAGCACACCCTGTGCTCCTGCTTCAGCGACCTGCTCCCCCCCAGCAATGCCGGTACCCCCACTTCTGTCTCTCTGCTCCGCTAATTCACTTTAATCTCCACCAGTTTGCGCTTGTGCTATGGGAAGTTAGCAAAATTAGCCTTTTTAAGTATTTCAAGCACATCAAGGCTTTTGCATTTTGCTGTTGATGTGGCTGGTTTGGTTTTTTTGGGTTTTTTTTTTGATGTTGCGAAATGAGACAAAGACCCAAAACCACCAGCAAAGAGTGAAGGACATCTGAGAAGTTTTACCTGGGCCTCAAGGATGGCAGGGGACAGGCATGGGGGGGCCTGGGCAGCCAGCACCAACACTGCCAGAGGGGGTTTCCATTCCCACTGCTGCCCAGTAACAGGGTGATGCTCCCGCCTAAGCCAAGCAATGTCCTAACTCCTGCTGAGCATCCCCCTAACCCTCACCAAACATCCCCCTAAGCACCATCCTGGGGGCTGAGCAAACAGGGTCACCTCTCCTCTCAGTGCTCCAACCCCCAGCTCAGCACACGCTGGCCCCCACGCTGTGTGCGATGGTAGGGAAGGTTTCCTTCAGTGGGCATAAACCGACTGTAAATTAATGACTAAATAACGCAGTGACGGATGCACAGATCGCCTGGAGGATAGGAAGACATGTGGCAAGGTCTGATTCTGACACTGCCACTCGGCCAAGCCTGCTGCTGAAGCCTTTTATCTGCTCCCAGGCACTGACCAAAGTTACACAAACCCTTCCCCTCGCAGCTCTGCATCCCTGCCTCTTCCAGCTGGCCGGCCCTGGCAGCCAGAGCGCAGCGGTGACCTGAGGACACCTCGACACGCACGGCCACTTGTACTCAAGAGGCAGCAGCCGCAGGCAGGAGCTGGCACAGCGCTGCACACACCTCGGCATTCCCACATCGCACTCTCCTAGAGAGCTCGTACCCGCCAAGAAACAGGCTCTTGTTTGCACAGAGAGGAGGGACCCCTCCGTATTCCGGCACCAGACACCAGCCTCGCCGCGGGACGGGGTGCATCCCTGTGGATGCAGGGCAGGACGCACCTCTGCTGCTCCTCTGAATGGGGACGAGCCAGCCTTTGCCAAATGCTGCAACACGCACGCTGGGGAATTCGAAATTGGAAAACATGCATGGAGCAACAGCCCATGCCGTGCTTGGGCTTGAACCCCTCCAAAAGGCAGCTCCTTCCCACAGCCCGCAGGGCTCCCTGCCCACCGTGAAATCACTCCCTTCCCCTCCTCCTGCTGCAGCCCCAGGCCTCCCTCCGGCGCACGCTCCGAGTTTGCCCTCGCTGTCCCAAATAACAGCCACAAACACCCCGTGCGCTTGTATCTCCCCCCCTCACACCCGCCGGGCCGCTGCAACAACAGGTTATCAGCACCAGGCAGGCGCAGGCTTTGCCCCCACGCCCCGCTGCGGGGCACCCCCGGGCGCTATCGCGTGCTGCAGGCCCCCCGTGCTGCCGCAATGGGCTCGGGCCAACTGGTCCCAGCAGGTGAAGGCCAGCAGGCAGTTTGTCACCGCCAGGGAAAGCCAACGCGAAGCCGGGTCCCCCGAGATGAAATCAGAAAAGCCCGAAGCCAAATCCCGTGCACTCTCGGCGCATAGCTGCCCGCCATGCTTCAGTCCTCCCCGCTGCGGCCCGACGGCGGGAGCCCCGCTGCTCCCCGTCCCCGCCGAGGGAAGGAGCACGGGCCGGGGCGTCAAGGCGAGGTGGCCACACCACCGCCCCACAGCAAAGGGCCCCGCCGGGGATCCCCCCTCCGGTGAGAGAGCACGAGAGGGGACACATCCCACCCCCACCTGCTCGGTACCGCTGGAGGAATCTGCTCCCCGGCCTCCAGCCAGCCCTTGCACGACAGACGCGTGGTCGAGCCCTTGTTGCCCTTTTCCAAACGCGCGGGGCAGAGTCCAGCGAGGGGCTTCGTCCCTGTCCTCACACCACTGAGCCTGAAAACCCCCAACCGCAGCCTCAGCCACGCTCGCGTCCACCCCAACTACACAGAAACCCCGCCAGCCTCACAAGACCTTCCCTCCTTCAGTAATTCCTACAATTCCCCGTGCTCTGCCAAAATAAAATACATTAAATAGACTGTACCTGGAAAGGAGCCTGCTGGTATAAAGGGAGTTTTTCTGCTGCTTCTCCCTTTTGCTGGCTCTTCCCCTCCCCTGGTGAGGACTCGGAGCCCTTCGCAGCTTTTTCCAATATCTCAATCAAGAGCACTTAGAGAGAAGGTGGAAACCTGCTCCCTCAACAGCTGTTAGAGCAAACCCTGATGCAAACAGATCACCTGAATATTTAAATACAAAGCCACGGTCAAGCTTTAGTTCATAAAATGTTTTCATGAGGACAACCCCTATCCTTCCCACATCTACACTGGTATCTTCACATCCCAAAAGATTTTTATTCAATCTCCTTTGCAAAACTTTGGATAAGACAGGAATTGCAACTTCAGTGTTTGTCTTCAAGGACTAGACACTGATCTTGCAGCCCGATCTGTATGTTGGTTTTTCTCCCTGCTAAAAAGCACCTTCAGCACAGCA